CATTTTTGTTCCCTTAGAACCCGTTTGGTTCTCTGGATTTTTTAATCATGTGGAAAAGTGTATCTTGAAATTTTTATTTACGGGAATCAACATTTCCTGGAATATAGAATATGTTGTTTGGATTGCATGCGGTAGAATCCAGGAAAATGCAAATTCATTGTTTGGATTGCCTGCAATATTATTTTCTTAGAAATACAAATTTTAGATACTTTCTCTCTCTACAAATTTTATATACTCTTGCTCTCTAAAATTTGATATGGTTTCTCTCTCTAAAACTTACAAATTTAGATAGTTTCTCTCTATACAAATTTTGAGATAGTTTCTCTCTCTAAAAATTTCATACAGTTTCTCTCTTTAAAATTTGATATAGTTTCTCTCTCTAAAATTTTAAGGTACTTTCTCTATCTAAAACTTAAAATTTCAGATAGTTTTTTTCTAAAAATTTTGAGATAGTTTCTCTCTCTAAAATTTGTTATAGTTACTCTCTCTCTAATAAGATGCTTTCTCTCTCTATATCTTAAAATTTGAGATAATTTATCTCTCTAAAATTTCAGGTAATTTCTTTCCCTAACATTTTAATATACTTTCTCTCTCTAAAACTTAAATTTTGAGATAGTTTTTCTATCTAAAATTTTTGAAATAACTTCTTTCCATAAAATTTTCAGGTACTTTCTCTATCTAAAATTTGATATAATTTCCCTCTCTACAGTTTTAAGATATTTTGTCTCTCTAAAACTTAAAAATTTGAGATAGTTTCTCTCTCTAAAAGTTTTAAAATATTTATCTCTAAAAATTTTAAGTTATTCCTCTATCTAAAATTTAATATAATTTATCTCTCTAGAATTTTAAGATATTTTCTCTCTCTAAAGCTTAAAATTTGAGATAGTTTCTTTCTCTAAATTTTTAAGATGCACGCTCTAAAACTTTACATTTTTTATAGTTTCTCTCTCTAAAAAATTTGAGATAGTTTCTCTTTCTAAAAAAATTTCATGTAGTTTATCTCCCTAAAAAATTTCATATACTTTTTCTCTCTAAAATTTGATATAGTTTCCCTCTCTAAAATTTTAATATGGGTATGTGAAAAATGGGTCGTTTCCATGAAATGTTAATTCCACCTATTTTAGTGAAATTGAGATTTCCGCTTAAAATGAGCATACAAGAGTCTGACAGAAATCTTGGTTCCAACTGAAAATGTCAATTATTAAACGAACCAAACATGATTGCCCAACCTTTTCCAAAAAAAGTGACTCCTAGAAATCTGAATCCTAAAAAAGAAATGGGCCCCTTAAATAATCATGGTGGGCTGGGATTATTTATGTTACAAAAATCATAAAAATTTTACACACTATCAAAAAATAATTGTGGAATTCCTACAGGGGCTATACTTTTCCTAATTTTACATTCTTGTCCTTTTGTAATGTTTTTTTATTCAAAATTTTCACTACATTAGCATCATAAAATAGTTTCTTCAATTTTTTATTTGTATGATTATACCCCAAAAGTTGAACTGCCCCAAATGAGGGCCTGACCAATGTATGGGGTAGTTCTATGTTGTTGACATCAGCATTTCACTACTCGGTCCGAGTCTCAATCAGTCAGGCCAAGTACTTGGGCTCGCCCTCAGGTTCGATTCCCTGGCGACCTAAGTTTCTCAGAGTTGGGTGTCCCACTTGGGGATATTAAAAAAATAAAATAATCCTAAAAAATAAAGAATTTATTTGCGATAAATACTTATTTTTACATTTCCCATCATTTTCAAATTATTTAAAAAATACCACCAATCACAAGTACATTTTTTAAAATATATTTTTATTACTTTTTTAACCTCGTTTTGATGTGTTTTGCTTAATCTTACTTTAAACATGTGTTTTCTATTTTTTGCTTTTTTTATATTTTTTGCTCTTATAGTACTCGACACTACTCAGGATGAGTCACTCCGACTCGAACCGAGTACTCGGATCGGGCATGGGCCAAGTACGTGCCTTGAGTAGTGATTTCGAGCACTGGTTGACATCGTATTGCTTCTTGTGTTAGTTTTTTTTTTTTTTTTCCTTTTCTATAAGTATGAGGTGGTTTGATTTCAACGACATCTAACTATCCCATCCGTGGGTTAGAATAGTCCCAGCTATGGGATAGTTCAATGTTTAGGTACCATGACGTTATAGAGATCGTACGTAATATAAAAAGATAGTTAGGGGCTTTGGATGTCAAAAAAAAAACCCGTCCCATTGAAAAAAATGTAATTTTTTTCAAGCTTATTAATAAATATTATCATCGTTTTTTATTAGTTTGTTAGACTGATTGGATGGTGTGCACATATTAAAATGAGTTTCGCGGAGGGACAGGGCGCTAAAGCAGGGATGGGTGGGACGCATATTTGCACTTCTCTGACAACAACATACGCTCTATCCTCATACAAGTCCTACCAGCTCCATTTGAGAGAGAGAGAGAGAGAAAGAAAATGCTTACCTCACTCAAAACTGGTGTTGCAGTTATGCAGGCAGCCAAGCATGGTGGTGGAGTGGAAATGAGTTGCAATTGACATCTAGAGAGAGAAAATGGCACCATGGCCAAAGCCCAAACCTTAGTTTCTGCAACTCTTCTTCTTCATCTATTTTCTTCCATTTCGGACCATACAACTCTTCTTCTTCAGCTATTTTATAGAGATGGGATTTGGGGTGATTGGTTTTTGGTGAGTCAAGTTTAGAGAGAGAAAGTAGAGAGATGGGCCTTGGGCGTTTCTATTGTTCATGAGTTCATGAGAGACGGCCCATCTGAAAAAATTCAAGTTTTTGTGAGAGGAGTGCAAATATGCCTCCCGCTCTTACTGCTTCCTTTGCGTTTGGTCTTCTTGACTTTATTTCTTCAGCGAGGGGAGGAATGGTGTTAGGGCTTTTGCTTGCTCCCAATGTGTAGGGAGGTGAGGAGAGGGAAAGTACCGAGAGGGAGTGAGGGAAAGCAGGGAGATGGAGAGAATTTTGGGAGAGAGTGAAGAGTAGGGTTAGGGCTTCAATGTGCTAAGATGGAGATCAGGGTCGGTTTCAATGTCCAATGCAACAACTCTCTCTCTCTCTCTCTCTCAAGTTTCGTCTCTCGCTCAACACAAAAACTAGAGAGAAAGAGGGCCTTGTCACCGGGAGAGATAGAAGGCTTTGTCACTGAAAGCAGAGAGGTGACAGAGGAGAGAGAGAGCATGGAGGCGAGATAGAGCAGAGAGATGATAGGGAGGTAGAGCAGAGAGGGTTGAGAGAGAGTGAGGCGAGAGAGAGCATAAGAGGCGCGAAAGGAGACGAAGGAAAATGCCATCAGAAAAAATTCAAGTCCAACTGGAATTTTTTTGGACGGTGAATTTTGCCTTGACACAAAATTTTTTTTTCTTCCAATTTAAAATTCTGGCAAAATCGTGTAGTTGTCCAAACGGTCAAGTCCATTTCACAAGATTTTTGGATTGCAATCCAAAAATATTCCAATTTTGGGTACATCCAAACTGACCCTAGATGATACTAACATTGACAAAAAAACTGCAAGGTAAGTTATTAAGCTGTACATTTCATGAATGAGGATAGTGGCCTCAAGTTAAATGGAACTCCTTGAGTGACAACCCATTAAAAGTAAATGTCTCAAAAAAAACAAAAAATAAAATTATATGGAGAGCACAGTCATTGACTAGATTTATAGGTCAAAAAATAATTTATTGATCTTTAAAACACACCCCAAACCTTTGAAGCTTAATAGTTAGAAGTAATTATGATTTCCTTGTAAAAACGATAAATGATCCATGGTATATCATTTTAAAAAGTAGGGAAATTATCGTTAATATACTTTTATTTTAGTAAAATTGGAAAAAAAAACCCTAGCTTTTCAAAACCTCGCCTACATTATTTCTCACAAATTTCGGTTTTTTTGGGACCAAAATGACTCTTACGGTGGTCTTTTTACCGTAATATATTTTAAGCTTTACAGTAATTAAAACACCATAAAAAATACAAAGAGTATTACGGTAATTTAAATACGGTAATAGTTTGAATTATTATTATGGGGAAGTCTTTACGGTATTTTTATTACCGTAATATTTTCCCAGTTAATTCCAAACCCTTAGTGGTTGAAAAGTTCAAACCGAAGCTAATATCAGGCTACCCCTCTCTTCAGTAGTCTTATTCAAAGCTTTATTTTTTAAAAAATTCATGTTGTGGATCTACTCCTTTGCTTGAAAACATCTATTTAAGAATGTTTTTGTTCTAAAATTTTGAGAACTATATAAAAATTACTAAATTATTTTTAAAATAATTGAATTGTGAGTTATGTGACACTTAAATCTCTCTCTTTGAAAATTGGATAGTTTCTATTCAATCTTGAAGTGTTAGGTTTTTCTAATATACAGAAGAATTTACTTGGAAAATTTCATTGGCTGAAATTATTCTATAAGCAGTAGAGATTAAATTCTAAAAATTTGAAGTTTGAAAAATACAATATGGATTTTCGTCGAGGAAGTAAATAAATAATAAACTCCCAAGGGAGTAGAAATTTTTTTGTGTTCTGTTAATAAGGTGTGGGCAATATTACAGTAATAAGTATTTAAATTACCGTAATACTCATTCAATAATTAAATTACCGTAATGTCGTACTACTCATTCAATATTTAAATTATTGTAATGTTCTTTACGATAAAAAAACTATCGTGCAAGTTATTTTGATAAAAAAAAAATTTTATTTGGATTTTTTTTTCGATTATAATAAAATATAGGTATCTCTAAAAATTACGATTTAGAAGTACTCCAGGACATTGATCCTTGTACCATGTTCTATAAATACTAAAATTTATATACATGCATAAGTATACTAAAATTTGTATACCCTGGATTTGAAGCATAAGCATACTAAAATTTGTATACCCCGGATTTGATGAATGACCGGGTTTCACAAATTCACAAATACTAGTCAACAAACAGGCCATAAGAGTACCAACACTTTTTCCACACTATGTCCCAGTGTGGGTCCATCGTGCTCAGATTTTTATCCTGACTCACTGCATAGACATGGCCGCAGATTACAAAGAGAGAGAGTTCCAGGCATGGCCCAACCCCACATACTCTGTTTTCAAAGTCTTTATCGCGACCCAGAAACTCCAGAGAAGCTTCCCCTCTCTCTCTAAACTGGCCGCCGTGGATTTTATATATTCGATCTGATTGCCTTTTCCATGTTGATCAGAGGACTAAGCCTTTGTAGTTCTCCCCTTGCCTGTTCTTTCCCACAGGTCCATGAATCCATAAGGTAACCAGCTTCCTCATTTTTCAAGCTGTGTCTGTTTTTGTGTGTGTATAATGCAAACATATGTTTGATAATATCCCTATATTTTCTGCGACTAAGTCCCTAAATACTTGTTAGAAGTGCGGTCTTCGAAGCTAATGAGTGAAATTTTCAGAATATTATAGAGAGGTTGGCAAGTTATGAGTTTTGGATGTTCAGTTGTAAGGTTTTTACTGTTAACCATATTAGATAGTGTGCAAATTGTGCTTTTCTCTAGCCTTTTTGGTGTTTGTATGTTAATCTCTTTATGTGTATGAAGTGATTATCCTTTTAAGTTGTAGAATTCTTTTAAAGTCCCTTCAAGCTTTACTGGATATGGGAGAAACCTAAACAAAATTTTGTGCATGTTTTGCGAGGGTCACTGAAGTGCCTGGCATCGTTCAGCGACTGTTAGGTTTCTTCCCAAAAGAAATATGATTAGAGCATTGTGTGACACTGTGGTTTAGGGATGACAATTGTACATCATATATGGATTGACCATCTGTTTGTATGATTGAGGGGTCATTGTTCTTGTTTCTAGTAGAGCAGTTGATGGAACTTTCATTTTTTTTTTCTTCCCATCTGTGCTCCTCTCATAAGGCTATGAAGGCTATGGTGGTCGATCCCCGCTCCCATTCACCCACAAGGACCAGGGGTCACGACCACTTCGAGCGTTTTGGGTGGCGAGAAGACTTTCTTCTTTCATTTGTCGAATAAAGGGGGGCATGTAGTTGTATAATAGCCTTTGAGATGCGCTTTCTCCTTTTATGAATGAAGAAGGGTGTAGCGAACTCTAAAACGAAAACGGGCAGCCCAGCATGGCAAAGCCTCCCAGCTGGCTCTTGCTTTGCTTACTGTTTCCCTACTGGAACAATAAGGAAAACATGAAGGCAGAGGGCCATTATTCTATTGCTATTGTTTCTAGTAGAGCAGTTGAAGGAACTTTCATTTTTTTTCCTTCACTTCTTTTGTATGATAGGTATGGCCTGCTGAAGTTTGTTCTTGAATTGTGTGCTACACTGAGTTTGTTTCATGGGTTAATAGCCAAATTTAGATCCATAGGAATGACTCAATTCAACCATTAATTGATCTTGGATGCAGTGAAGAATAACAGACCTTAAAATCCTCTATGGAAAAAAGTCTGTTTTAGTGGAAGTTCTTCTAGTCTATTTATTCTTTTATTTGTGAAATTCATTAAGAGGCAAATGAGACCTACATTGAAAGACTCCATATGCAATTATGACATCCACTTTATTTATTGACCTCCTGATCCCTATGTCTATTTCTTAATAGTTGCTGAACACATCAAGGGATGTCTCCATACTGAATCACTATGTAGTAACCTAGAAATTTTTTTATTTTGTTCTTTTAAATGTATTCCCAAAAACTCTTCTTGAGTCTGTATTTTTTACACCAGGTTTACCAATACATGAAATTTGTATAAAACCATCTCAAAAATTGTTGGCAAAAAATCATAACAAACTTATATGAAACATGTATTGTGTGTAGTAGAAACTAATATATAATAGAAACCATTACTACAACATAGTGGAAATCCCTTTATATAGTTGGGATATTGTGGAAATTTAATGCAGAATTTGAACCGATATTTTTGTAAATTGATTATGAAGTAAACCACATTACCAATATTGTGCATTATTACTTTGTCAAACATTGTAGAAATTCACTGCAGAGATTATACCAATGAATAATATTGTTTCCAAAATCTTTTGTACAATCACAATAATTGCATGGAACATACACATACATTCTTGGAAACGTTGTATTTTGAAAAAAGCATGCCGGAAACTTTTTATGCCAGTGTCTGCATGCATATTAATAACTATGTATTCTGCACTTGTTAAGGCCTTGTACCTTTTTCAACGTTTTAGAGAACTGATTTTTTAACTGTCACAATGGTGTCTTCTAATTAAGATCATGATCTTTAAATACGATTATGTGGGTAGGGCTTCTTGCAAGGTGAGGACCTTATGGCTTCGTCAACTTTCCATAGGCTATTGTTTTTGCAGTCACAATAGTGCATTCTAGTGCCCTTTGATTATGATTGTGCAGTAATTGGTTCTTATCCCTGCATCTATTTCTTAATCCCTCCTAGGCTTCATCAAGGAGATGTCCCCATATCGAGTTGTTGTGTAGTAATCAAGAAGCTTATTTTTTTTTTTGAATGTATTTCAAAATGAATACATTCGGAAAAATTTAGGTGTGGCACTAATAGGCGATAAGATGAGAGAGAACATGCTTAGGTGGGCTGGCCATGTGTGGCATACACCTTTTAGGAGGTGCGAGTTAGTTCAAGTGGAAGACTCAAAAAAGGCAAAGGGTATGACCCCTTAATACAACAGAATGGCGGACCAGGATTCGTGTAGCCGACCCTATCAGTTGGGAAAAGGCTTTGACGATGATGATGATGATTTCCGGAAACCCCTCTTGAGTCTGTATTCTCTATACGAGGTCTATTAGTGTATGAAATTTGTAGAAAGCCATTTCACGAATCTTCGGCACAAATTGATAGGAAACTTGCAAGGAATATGTATTTTGTGTACTAGAAACCCAATGAGCCACATATAATAGGAGATCACTCTGAAATGTAGTGGAAATCATTTGCCAAAATGCTGTTGGGATGTTTGGCCAATTTTCTGCAGAATTTGAACCAATAATGTGTAAATTGCGCATGAAATATGTACCAAATTACAAATATTGGGCATTTTTACTTGTATAGTTGAAATTCACCATGGAGACAATACGAATCACAGATTTTTTCCAAAATCTTATGACTACAATCATACGAAGTGCATGGAACACATACTATCTTTCTCAGAAGCCGTATATTTTGAAAAAAGTATGCTGGAAACTTTTTACACTGGTGCCCGGATGCATACCAATGGCTATGTTTCATGTACTTGCTGAAGCCTTGTGCCTTCCTCGACTTTTCTCAGAACTGATTTATTCAAAGTCACTGTGGTGTCTTCTAAATAAAATTGTGCTCTTTGAATGTGGTTGTGTGGGAATTGCTTCTTGCAAGATGAGAGACTTGTTCCATCGTCAACTTTTCACAGAACTAATATTTTTTAGAGTCACAATGGTGTGTTTTAAATGAAATTATGCTCTTTGAATATGGTTGTGCAGGGATTGGTTCTCATCATCCATCTGTTTCTTAATAGCTCCTAGAATTTATCTAGGACAGTCCCATGCCAAGTCACTGTGTGGTTATACAGAGGCCTTCTTCTTCTTCTTGTTTTCTTTTTGGTTCTTTGAATGTTTTCCAGAGACTCTTCTTGGGTTTGTATTCTGGATACCAGGTACCATTATCTAAAAGTTTTACAAAACCATTTCAGGTATCTTCTGCAAAATTCATAACAAACTTATTTGGGATATGTATCTTGTTTATTAGAAACCCAATACATCAGTTTATAATAGGAAACCACACTAAAATGTAGTGGAAATCCCTTTGCCATTATATACTTGGGATATTGTGCAAATCTACTAGAAATTAGAACCGATATTGTGCAAATCGATCTCGATTGTGGATTGTTTCTTGCAAAACAATGAAGAAATTCTCTACGGTGACCATTGCAATATCATTGATATTTCTTTCTGAAATTATATGAATATAATCATAGCAATTGCATAGAACACACACCATTATTCTCAGAAACCTTACATAAAGCGCATGCCCGAATTGTTTTTACATAGTACCGATGTTTCATTTCCTGCATGTGTATTGATGTTTCATGCACATGTTGAAGGCTTGTGCCTTCTTCAACTTCTCACAGAACTGTTGTTTCTCACAGTCTCAATCGTGTTTTCTAAATAAAATTATGCCCTTTGAATATGGTTTTGTAGGAATTTCTTCTTGCAAGATGACAGCCTTGTGCCTTCTTCAACTTTTCTAAGAACTAACGTTTTCACTATCACAATGGTGTGTTAATGTGTTCTAAATGGCATTCAAAAGCCTGGTTGAGTCCATTCGGACTCTGCGGATTTACTCAAACTTGGCCCTTTGACAACCCAAGTATTCATACAAACTCGGGTAAAATAAAAAATCAGAAAAAAAGACTTATATATTTTTTGGGTAAAATCAATGTATAGCAATGATGAAATATTTTCATATATGATTTGATGTTTTAAATGATGATTTTTGATGATGATTTGTGAGTTTTTGTTGTCGTATGCCCTATTTTTATATTTTGCCTTTTGTGGGTTGTTCTGAAATGTTTCCAACTATAAAATGATTTTTTCTAAATCCATCTGTTATATATA